TCAATGTTCTTTCATGCATTTAAAAAAGGGTCCTTTGGAGACTCCCCCTCTCCGAAGCTACACCTTCTACAACCATCTCTTTTATTATATTGTTCAGACCAGTTTCCTCTACATCTGTACCAATTTTGGCTTCTGTGCTATCTATTTCAATTATTCATTTTTTTTAGTCTTCTTTGACTAGGTTGAAATTTTTCAGCGTCAGTATCATTATGAACCGATAATGTTTCTTCTAATTTACCTCTTAAGCTGTTAATAATTCAAAGTCCTCCAATTTTAGCTATATCTGATGGCTGTTTAATTTTGTTTCTAGTGTATTTTCTACCTAATATTGATTTCATTAAAACTTTTTTCAACCTCATTCTTGCTCACAAGGAAGTCAAAAAGCTGAATAATTCATAATGAGTCCACATCTTCTTACTCATTTCGTTTTGTAACTTTGACATTTTCACCTGACCTATTTTTATGTGGATTTCGGATCAGAGTTTCGATAGAAGATTACATCTCGTTGCAGTAAAACTTCAATGATTTTTTTCAAATGCCAAGTTGCTTAATTTGGCAATGATAATGGTATTACTACTTTCATACAATTGTAATTAATTATCAGATCTTTTGCAATTCTATAACATTGTGTCTGAAATTATTGTGTTTGAAATGGACACGTTTTTTCTTACGGAAGGACATATAAAAGACGATCACGACAAGAAAAAATTTGGCTAGATGATAGATAACTATTTTAGTCATGCGTTATGGTTTACAGTTTTTGGGTTTCGAAATATTTTTTTTGTTACAAGGGGCTCTGTCTTCACAATCGGTTGCCGTACAATTTCGTTTTTTATTTAGCTGACTTCAAGAATGAAATTGCTATTCATATTCTATATACTCTTGACATTGAACCATTTAAGTAACACTTTTATTTGTATGCAAAATTATGAAATCATCCTGTTACCTATGTGTAAACATTCTGCGATTATTGTGAAATTTATATATCCACATTTACTTCACACTTTAAATATGAATAAATCTTCACATATTACTTCTTAGGATCAGAAAATCTCAGATTGCTGCCCGAAAATAATCAAGAATATCGATTTAGCATTTGTACTCAAAACTGAAAAGTACAAGTTAGGTTAGGGTTTATTTGACCCTCCTCCGCAACCCGCAAGGGTTTATTGTGGCTCGCACCTATTCACACTCGACCAAATAATCCCAGCTTCTTAACGAAGCCGATTAGTTTGTATGGTGAGTGGTCTTTCAGGTCAGATGATAAGAGTACGGCTTCGCCAAACTTTCAAAACCTGATTCGGTCCCCAACGGGGCAGGCACAAAGTAGGTGCTCTACTGTAGTTCATCCCTACTGTAGTCCAACAACTGGTAAGTATCAAGCTTCAAAGGATGAATGAACGCCTTGGAGTGAGCCAATCCTGGAAGATTCTGACAGAACTCCATAAATCTTCTTGCCTAAAGCGATGCGAATGACAGGTTCTGGTCCGATGAAGCTGCTTGCAGCACCTTCTTTTGCAAGAGAGTCAGCAGCCTCATTGCCTTCCAGGCCAGTATGGCCAGGAATCCAGACTAGAGACCATCTGTTAAGTCTTCCTACCAATTTAGACGTTGCTCGGTAGGAGCCAAGAGCTTCCAACGCCGCTTGACTGTCCGAGAATATTTTTGTTGACTTGTGTATGAGGTTAAATTATTCTGATCTATCCGCGTAAATTTCCGCTGGAAATACAGTCGCATAGGTTCATAGGCAGGTTAATATCTCTGTCCTGGGTCTGCGACTGAAAACACCTGCACCAGAACCGTAAGGTGTTTTTGATCCATCTGTGAACCAACAATCATCTGCTCTTAATATTTCCTTTTCCCGGAAGAACCAGTATTCAAGCCCTAGTCTGAACGATCGATCTTCACTTGCTATCGTCCAACCCGTGTTAGGAATCACACGTTAAAAGGTAAGACCTCGTTAATCCTTAGCTCGCACAAGTTTCGACTTCTGAGGGTGCGACAGCTGGTTAACGGAAAAACAGATTTTAAACAGATTTTTTTTTTAAACAGATACACAGTATCCGCCTAATTTGCGTGGCATCACAGAGTAATTTATTAGATTTTCTATTGAGAGTTTCCCTAATCGAATATATCGTTTTCAAGTTGCAATATCCCCGCTTTATATTTAGCGAAATATGAGGTGGAAATCTGAGAAACAAGAGAAAGAGACCAAGATTTTCAGTGCGCTCAGACAGACTAAAATTAACATTATCAAAAAAAATCGAAATTTGATTTTGACATCTTTTTCTCATTGCTGCCCTCCCAAATAGCATGGCAACAATTTTAGAAGGATTGATTGTTAGACAGTATTTTTCAGAGGTGGTTAATAAAATGAATTGAGGCATCGCTTGATTTGTTGGCATGCTTTTGCCAGTGAACTTTCTGGAAATTGCATATAGATTTGAGTGTCATCTGCGTAACTGTGAATTTGAGTATACTGAAGACATTTGGGAAATTATGACGTATATATCACGAATAATGCAGGACCAACTAAAAGCTGATGACATATTTTATCAAAAGCTTTGAAATAGTCTATTAATATGAGAATAGAAAGTTCATTGCTGTCGATCGATTTGTGAATATCATCTACGACTTTTAAAAGCGCATTCCTGCAACTATGGCCTGGCCTTAAACCTGATTGGGACGATGGCAGTATTTTATATTCCTCGAGGAACTCACGACTTTGTTTATTGACGATATTTTCCAGAGTTTTAGATATGGCACACAAAATGCTGTTAGGGCGGAGGTCACTAAAATTCTGGGGATCGTTGACTTTACTTTACTTTACAGAAAATGAGATTGTTTCCATGTTGTAGTGAAAACACTAAAATTAATACAGGTATTAAATATGTGCTCTTTGAACTGTAATTTAAAATGACTGGAATGAAGTAGCATCGTAATGCTACTGCCATCAGAACCAGCAGCATTAGATTTAACTGAAAGCATGAATTCGCAGATCTCTTGTTCAGATTTTTCTTATTAGTCAGTGGGCTCTGCTTGAAGACTGGCAGTAAACAAATCTAAAGCAAATGAACTTCAAGCCAGTCTCGATATACTTACACAGTAGGTTTAATGGACTGACGCCTATCAGAAAACAACTACTCCACTGGCTAATACCACGAAGGGCGTTGGATTATATCTGACAAGCGTCAGTGCAGGAATCTTCACAGCAAATGTCCTGCATATGCAATTGGCAATACAACTGAAAAAGTCGACCTTCAATTCTGGAACGGGCACACTTGCAGACCGGTTTCGGGCTTATTAGCCACTCATCAGTGCAAAATAGTGACCATCATCAACCTAAAGTCAATGATATTCCACAATTGAAAATCGGAATTCTTTCAGAAGATATTGAGTGATGTTATCAGATTGAAGGCCGAAGACAATTATGTTGTTTCGTTTCTTCTCATTTTATTGTACAGTTGAATCACCTGATACTTCAATTGCGAGTTTTCAGTTTCTAAGTGACAAAATCGTTCATTAGTGGAAGACATTTTTTTTTTATTTCAGTGAGCTTCTCCTGAGTTTTATCGCTTTCATCATTGATAATCATAAAGTAGTCTATACACATCCTCAAGTATTATATTTTCTGGTATCTGGGTCATATTTGAGTTTCCAATTGGAATATATGAAGTGTCCTCAGCGACTTTACTAATTTTTGTACGATACTGGTTTTATTGAGGATTCCTTCAAATTTTACAGACAATGGCAAACGTAAATCAAGTTTACTCAGAGCATCGAAATTCTCTAGCAGTCGAAAAACGAAATTTTTACGTTGACAATTCACTGATTTATAACGATGAAGGCAAGATAACGTGTTCTATCAAAACACTTTTTTGCATAAGAGAATAAATCAAAATATAGATAAAGCAAACTTGAAGTAATTGATGATGATTTGTAATTCGTTCTATTGTATGTGACTAGCCAAATGGAGATATTATTCTACTAAACCATAAACGTCGTGTCAATTATACTTCCGATTTGGGCGCTACTTCAAACTACAAAAAAAACAATCGAAGCAAGCGGTGTTTTGCGAAGAAGAAATACAAAACCCATTCACTAAACTAGGAGACCGAACTCCACTGAAATGTTTTTCTTCGACCATTCAGCACTTGCGACTACTAGCTTCAGTTACAGCATCAGGTTATGAAAGAGAAATATTGCGACATGACGAAACCGACATTTCAAGATAAAGTGGTAT